AACTCATCAGAAACAGAAGGAATTTTGGATCAACTGTATGAGGAGGTCAACCAAAAGCCAGTACCTGCACGTGGAAGACAAGCGCCGGTAGAGTGGACACGCTATCGGGGCGTTAGGAGGCGGCCATGGGGTAAGTTCGCGGCAGAAATAAGAGACCTCAAGATGAAAGGATCAAGAATTTGGCTCGGGACATACGAGACGCCCGAGGATGCAGCATTGGCTTATGACCAAGCAGCTTTTGAAATGCGTGGTGCAAAAGCTAGGCTGAATTTTCCAAATTTGTTTGGTTCTAATACATTACAGCCAGTGAGAGTGAACCCAAGAAAGCGTTCATTGGAGCCTTCTGTTTCATGTTGTTCAACAGAGAAAGATGTCCCAAAGAAGGGTAAATTTGAGGTTTCCTCCATGATGATTTGAGCAGATGCTTTATTGGGTATTGTATAGTACAGCAGAAAATTTAGATGGTTCCTTTTTCTGGGTTTTTTTTTTTCATTTTGAGGCATCATAGTTTGATTATACACCTCTTTTTTTCAAATATGATTACCTCAGAAGAAGAATTGGCTGTAAGGAAGCTTTTTTACCTGTTGTATTTTCTCATTGTTTCTTCAATATACCTTGAAAGGACAGACTCTAAGGTTCCGTTTGATAAAACTGAATCTGAATTCTGAAGTCTGAATTCTGAAATCTGAATACTGAAATAATTAATTTACTGAATTTTAAGCACTGAAAAAAAATATATGAATGTCTAAATTTTAATGTTAAACCTATTTATACTGTTTGATAAACATTTCTAACTAAATGCTTAATAAGTTAAATTTGACAAATTTGCCCTTATATCTTTTCATCCAAAGAAGAAATAGATTCTATGATTTAATTAGCTAAAAATGTTAGATATGAAAATGACAATATTTATTTTTAAATCAAATTAATATAAAAGATGAAATATATTATATGAGGAGTATGGAGAAGATGTGAAAATCATTCAAAAGGGAGAAAAAGAAATAGAAAATCATTCGATCGAGAATATTGGATTGTTTAATTAGATAAGGATTTTGAACATAATTAACAAACAAAGGTAGATTTGGTAGATAAAATAAGGTAATTGAAATAATTCTATTGATTCTTATCAGAATTAAGCATTCAGTTAGGATTCTTGTGATGAAAAAAATACACACAAATTCAGCACTACTTAACAAGTTCAGCAAATGAATTTTTATTTATCAAACACTCAAAACATCTAAATGCCTGAAAAAAATTCAGATTCAGTACTTTTTAATGTTATCAAACAAATCCTAAGAGTGTATTTGTGAAATAAATAATTATTTCGAATTTTTTGAAATAATTATTATAATACTTTTTACAATGTAATATATTTGAAATAAAAAAAGTTGTATAAAAAAAAGTTAACCAAAAAAACGTATTCATGATGCAAGTAAAAAATGGTCAATCTAAAGAAATTCAGTTCCAAAATATCACAATTGAATATTTTTATTTCGCTAAAGTAATTCATGGCAATGATTAGCCATTGAGAAGGATTGTATCCTATTGCTTGCAAGTAATTAAGGTGGTTAAGGTAAATTTTTGGAGAATTTTTAAGAACTTATGGACTATTTAGGCGAGGTGCAACCGCTAGCTCATTTGTTCTAGGTGGTAGTGGGTAAGCTGAGATTTTAGTCTAATTTTGTTAAGGACTACGCACTACATGGACGTACTAGTTCAAGGTATTGACAGTTAAGGTGACATCTTAGAGATTTTGGAAGTATTTGTGGGTGAGAAACGAGACTTCATAAAGATCCGCCAAACTTAAAATACGGCATCCCTAGTGAAAAAACCACCTATTGTGTTGCATACCTCAAATATGGCTTTTTATATATGTAGAGAAAAAGAAGGATGAGCGAAAGACAAAACTAAATTTGATAGGGATAATTTTAGAGACGTCCCTCGGGGTTTTTGATAATTTCACTGACCTTTCTTGAGATTCGCAAAATTACACTAACCTCTCTTGAGATTAAGGTTTTGGTAACAAAATTAGTCCAAGTCAGAAAAGAGACCATTAAAGAGGTACTTTGAGAAGAGAGATGAAACTTTTATTTCACAAGTACCCTTTATATTTGTATACAAATACCCTTTTTATTTCATATATTAATAAAAGTAAGGGAAGGTAAGCGTAAATAGCAAAGAACTAAAAGTAAGTAGCAACTGACTTTCTCTTCAAAGATGGACCAACAACTAGTGCATTGGATTACAATGACTATTTTTTTTTTTAAATCTTTGCCATTTTGCATATAAAGGCAACATGAAGCATTAAAATGGATCTCATTTTCACTTGAGGTAGCAAAATTTAGAGGTGGGGAAATAGTAGTTTTGTGTGGATTTCACAAGCTAAAGGTGAAATATAGGGGCAAAAACTATGGCCTCGTCAAGCTATAAGAGGAAATCATGAAATTCAACCACATCCTTTATCATCAAAAACAAATATTACAAGTATAATTGCAAGATAATTGTGAAGACTTTTTAGAGTGAAAAAAATCTTCACAAATTACTATTTGACGTATCAAATTTTGAGAGTGAATAAACATTTGGTATATCAATTGGTACCATTTAGTAATTGCAGCTGGTTACTACTCATCATTAAAGAAATCCCCAATAGCTATTTTTGTTAATTAGTTGCTAACAATTAATTTAATTAGTACCCTAATTACTTAATTTCCAGATATTGGTTTTCAATAAGACGTAATATCTTAGGATGTATAAGTAATTTTCTTCCTATGTGATGTAAACAATTGGACCCACAATTCTATATTGCAAACCTCAAGGGAGGCCAATGAATTAATTGTCAAAAACCTTAGGGGAGATTTCTGAAATTATCCCAATTTGATATGCAAACCAGAATTGAAGAAAATTTTCTCCACATTCGACAAAATGCCCTACACTTTTGTATTTGACAAGCTTAATCTTATAGAAAAAATCGTGTGCAGCACTATTCTAGCCCAATATTAAATTTTAGAAAAATACTTGAAATATTCTGGGATATGATAAGAATCCTAATATTGCAGAAGTGCCGTTTAATAGTAAATTTAATTTAGGGGACAGGGACAAAACACAATCCGAAGCTTCGGGCTACTCATATAATTTTTTCACTTAAAGTAAGACTACACACAAATTAGTTTATTTGTTGTTTTCATAAATAATTAAACAGATACTATAACATTTATTAATAACAAATTTGTCCTATAACAAATTAGTAATTTAAAGGTGTACTAGTCCTTGCAGTGTCATAGCAGTTGAGTTCTCAAATCTCGACTTGATGTCCGCCCCTCCCATAATTCATTAATGTAGGAATTTCCAAGTTTTTGGAGTCACCATAAAAAGTGAAAGGGCAGGTGAACCCCCCCGTGGAACATGTGTATATTGTCCTACGCATTTTACATATATTTTATTATGGTAATATATACAAATACTAGTCAAATCAAATTTTGGTTGCTTGAATTTGAATTTTTGCTAATGTGAAGGCTCCAAACTCCAACGATGGCAGCTGGTTTTGGACGCGTTGAAATTCACACACTGCATATTTGTCTCCAGGGATGAGAGTTATTCGATATATTTTCATTATTTCTGTTGTTAAGTGAACAAAAACGCGTCATGAGTATGCTAAAACAATTTTGGGATCAAGAAAAATTTATGAAAATTAACTTCATATTTTCCGATGAGGGGTTACTGTTAAGTTAATCTTCGCATATGGCAAAAAATGCTACTTTCTTTATGAGTAAATCTTATATACACTGATACTGCATACACGATCACGGTTAGATATATGACACGTACGCAAAATTTGAGTTTCAAATCCAAATTCGGATAATTAGCCAACTACATCATTTAACCCTGATCTGACCAAATTGGCATTCGAGGGTTTAAATTCGATTGTCGTAAAAATCAATTAGCTAGGGGAACCAAATCAATCTGCAGTCCACACGCTGAGCATGAGAAAAACAACAATACATAAACAAAATTTTCAAGTCCTTTAATTATTCGAGATCTCAAGATTTAAAGATCTTAAATTTTAATTTTTCTTTCTTTTCTCCACTTCTTAAATTCTATGTTTCTCTTGCTAAAAAACAGTTCTTTAATTATTCGAAAAGAAGGGGAAATTTTTCGTACTTGTGTTTTATGCCCTATATATATATAGAGAGAGACACACACACCTGTGGTTACATCATGGTTTTACAGCAAAAAAAAAACTGACATAATGGTAGAATATAGCTATTGAAGAATACTACAAGAACGGGATAAAATCAGAAGGGGACAGAGCATTGAGAATGGCTTAATATATTAGCCAAAGTGAATAATGTCACGGCAGTCCCTTTTTTTTTTTAGTGTCTTGGTTGTTAGTAATCCACTCCAATATGGGCATCAATTATTGGTTCTGCATCATCAATCTCTTTCCACCAAGGTTGTCCATCTTTACTATATAAGCATGCCAGAATATGGGCATAAACTTGGCTTCAAAACGGAAAAAAAACATTAGTATATATACCATTTCCCAACTAACCATTTTAGAAGTCTCTTTTTTCCTTTTTTTTTTTTAGGGGGGGTAACCTCTTTACAAGTCTCTAATGTACAAAAACAATAGGCAGGTACTATGAAGTCTATGTTGTAAAGTAAATAAAAAGAATGCCTTTTCTACGGGCTTGAAGTTTATTTATGATTTTTATATATATATATATATAACAAGCATATATATTCCAATAAGCATCTCCATCAATACTAACACTAAAATTAAAGTTTTATTACAAAATGCTTTCTTTCTAATTGTAGTGGTTAAGACCTAAGAGAGAAAGAAAAAAATTAAGATAAAATTATCTTGGTGGTTAAGGTGAGATAATGGTGACTAGCAAGTTCATCTGTCATGAATGGCAAAAGAGAGAAATACTAAGGGCAGAATCAAAGGAATAAAAGGGGTTTTTTTTTCAATACCTTGTAAACATATATGGACAAACTGATTTCTGTTGAGATCGGTACCCGATTCCAGATGCTCATCAGCATTCTTTTCTACACAGGCACGCAAGTGACATTTCCCGTGGCAAATTTGCTTTTACAAACCTTATCTCTTTGAAGTTTGAACAGAACCCAGAATAATTCTGTATAAATAAGCCAATTTTCATGGTTCAGGACAAGTAGAAGAACTTTGTTCAGCCTAGAGAGAAAAAAGATGATGAAAGGCATGGCTTGTTCGGTCCTGTTCATGGTGGCCTCAGTCCTAATCATGGTGCAGGCAGGGCGGGCCATGAGTCGGCTGACATGCGGTCAAGTGGACACATTACTGGCTCCATGCATACCTTATCTCACACATGGCGGTGAACCGGGACCGGAATGTTGCAACGGCGTGAGAAGCACAAAGGCTTTGGCTCAAAACAGAGAGGACAAGAGGCAAGTCTGCATCTGTGTAAAAGAAGCTGCCAACCGGTATGCAAACCTTGAAGATGACGCTGTGCAAGCCCTGCCGGTCAAGTGTGGCGTCGACGTGGACATTCCTGTCTCTCGGAAAATAAATTGTGATGTGTGAGTTTCTTTTTATGTTTTCTTGTGATTTTCTGATCTAGAGAACCCAAATAATCTAATGCTCTGCTAGTTGGCGGGCGTGCGTGCGTTCATAGGTTTAAGGCAATGAACAGAATTAAGGCCCCTTGTTCATAGGTTGATTTAGATTCTACAAAATCTGATTATAGAGAATAATCAGAATCAGCAGCGAAAGTTACTCTTTGGATGATTTCTAGATTTTAGCTCTTTTTGGGTCATCAGAAAATCTACGATCAAAATACAAAAACAACCGAGAACGAGCCCTAAATACCAACAGCTGCTTTGTTTGCATTGAGTGAAAGTAGTGTTATAGACACTATGATCTCATCGACCACAAGCATGTTAAAAAGTCTTAGATGTTACCCTCTATCGCCTGAGAGGCTGAGAAAATCTAAGGGAAGAGAATAAATAAGTATTTTTGTTATCACATGAACTTCCACTGCACTGTTTATTACTCATGCAACCTTCGGTGCTAATCACTTCTTCTTTTTTAATTTTGGGTGCGTGCAGCATCAACTGAAATGATGGGGGAGAAATGAACGGGAGGCTCTTGGACGTTTTTCAATCTCTGCCTTATTTTGCCCGTTTGGAGAATAAAGAATTCCATGGGTTTGAGACCCAGATCAGATGTAATAACCTAGTGGGATGCAAGTTTGGTTTTGGATATTCTTTTCTTTTCTACTAAATAAATAAGGATTCATTCACGCAACGAACTCGTCCTTACAATAATACATGGTGAAATTTATAGTCACATACGTGTCATGTTTCCTCTTTCCAGGCCCTTCTATGTCTTTGCATATATGTTGAAAGTAAGATGTCATCAACCACTTTATATATTTTCCACATAATCGGGACGTCATTCATGGGTTTGAAGAAGTTTCTCTTCAATTGGAAAAATCCACAAATTAAAAGGACATATTATTGCACCAAGAGAAGAAAGACAGAGGAGGTAACTTCTGAATCGGAAACAACATAAAGCAATTGATGCCAATAGAATGATTAAACTTGGAAGAACTTGCAGATACCAATCCACTAATCAGTTTTCCTTTCATCTTAGGACGAGAATGAAAACGCGCATTCTCAGATCCTGGGCCATATATATTGCATTGCAGCACCCAGCCACTTCCACAACTGTATAGGTAAAAACTCAGGCACCACTACAATCCTAATATCTCTTCTTCTGTTGAAATCAAAAGGGCAATCAACGCCTGCAAATACTTTTAGCCGCATCACCAAATCTGACTTTCTTGTCGCGAACTCGACATGTAAATGACAGGTTCAAATTCAACCTAAGCTACTCAACATCTGGGTCCAAATGATTTTTACCCAATACATTTTCCAAGAGGCAACACTAACATCAAAAAACATCAAAGGTGTCTTGTCAGCCATGTAACAAAAAGCTTGCTTGTCGCCTGACCGGTATGACCAATGATTCTCATCTTTTCTTCACCCCATAGGATGTCGCCTCCTGCACATTTTCAGGAAATTTTTCATAAATGAAAACAGTCTATCCATTATATAGCAAGTCAGGGACAAATTTCACAGATTCCAAACCCGTTTGCACCACCCCCTCTCCTAAGCCCAAGCATAAACCAATCAAATGATTGAGAATAGTAGTCTACGAGACTTTAGAGAATGTAGGTGCAAATTCATTGGTGCCCCGTGTGGACCGGTACTCAAAAAGTTCAAAGCAGCAACCTTTATGGGGCAAAACCAACTAAAAGAAGAAAAAGCTATGGCAGTTACCTCTTAGGCCGTCCTCGATCTTCCTCATAGTCCATCATTCCACCTTCAGAGTAGATCTCCTCGTGCCCTCGGAAGTCAATGTCGGCCTGCTTACAGTTTTTAACTTCTGCCACAACGTAAGTAAGACACATCGACAAACATATCCCAGTGCATGGAAATATATTCGGAAGAGACGCTGCTTAGAACTACGGCAATTTGATGATTTTGGCTCAAAACACAAGTCATTTCCATGCAGCAGGGTAAGACAAACGAAGCAATCTCACTTCAGGTATAACTTTAAAAGATCCCATCATGTCTTGTTTTGTTAGGAAAAGAATAGACGGAAACAAGAAACTGAGAAAAGAACCAAATTTACCAGTCTTGACCACTTTGAAATAAATTGACGTACAGAGAAGCCGGAACAAGCAAACTGAAGCAACAGTAATGTTTAGGTCCCTTGGCATAAACGATGTTAAGTGAATCTAACGGCATCAAAACATAGCATATAGCTAAAACTCCAAAATTTTAAAAGCCTCCTCCACGTCCCCTCCAAGAAGCTCAATAAAAAGACCATGACTAGGAAAAGAGATAAACAACTTCCACCACCTTCCTTTTCAGATAACAGTTGTACAGGCTCCAAGAAGTTCAGCAAGTAAAACTCGGACCAAATTTGAACATGTGACTAAACAAAACTCTCTCTCTCTCTCTCTCTCCCCTTGATCCATGTGATTTTGTTCTAACAATTACTTCTTAAAAGCCAAACATCTTGTTGTAACAATTAAAGAAATCATTCTGTTGTCTTTTTTTTAAAAGCAATAATATAATGGAATCACATGGTTATGTTGGAATGGAAATCTTAAGAATAATTAGAGCTAAACTTCAATTAACTGACCTTCAGGGATTTCTTTACTTCTTCAACTTTTTCTTCAACTTCTTTACCATGCTTCTTGTCCAATTCACTCATCGTATCTGCCCATTTAATCTTCTCCTGAATGGAGACAAGTAAGTCGTCCGATGTCACCAACCTGTGTTTTTCATTATACCAAAAAAAAAAGGCTTTAATAAGCAAGTTGAAAATTTCGCTTGCCACAATAATCTCATGACATACAGATTATCAGATTTCTACTCTGATTTAATAAACTACTAATTACTTTCATAAAATGGATGTGCAGGACCTACAAATATGTTTTAATTTTCAGAATTCAATTTATGTCTTATGGCCCATCAAGCTTCCCAAAACCTACAAATGTAATCTTCCAGACTATCACAAAAAGTCAAATATGGATCATAGTCAACTTAAACAACGGTTAAGCCATTAGAATTTAGGGTAAATCACACTTTGCCCCCCTGAACTTTAGGGGTAGTCACATTTTTCCACCCTCAATCTTAAAAATATAAACTTCACCCCCCACGAGGACTAGTCAAAGTTAGAAATTAAAAAAAGAAAAAAAAATGAATGCAATGACATTATTGCCCCTCTATTTATGATTATATTTATAACTTTGTATTATTTCCCTTTTATTGCAAAATATATACATCTTCTCTATGGTATCTACTATAAAAAAAAAATCAAATTTGTAAAAGCTTAAAAACAGTTTTATGTTTAGTTTATTATTCTTAAAAGTTTTCCCGTTGAATCGATGTTCACTTTTATACATACTTAGTTCAATTTATTAGACTTTAAATAAAACAATAAAGATAAATAACAAAGTATTAACAATATATAGAGTTAGCAAATTTTTGGAAAAGCAAGGCAATATTAAATTCATTATTTTTTGGAAACTAGTATTTTTTATATTTGTTTATGTAAACTGTTAAATAATATTATTCTCATTTTTTATTTGTCAAATGAATCAAATATTAAATACTTAACCAAAATTGTTAAAAAGGGCTGACGCCTTATTTTTCAACTTAAAGGAGGAAAATAGAGATTAAGTTAAGCATCACATTTTTTCTGGGCAAGAAAAGGACAATCATAATAAACTATAAATAATTTCGACAATAAAGGGGGGCAACAGTGTCATAACACTCACTTCTTTTTTATGGAGTCAAGATTTTCAAGGTTGACTGGTCTTCGTTGGGGTGAAGTGTATATTTTTAAGGTTGAGGTTGGTAAAGTATGTCTACCCTCAAAGTTCAGAAGGGTAAAGTGTTACTAACCCCAGATTTTATATGGTAATCACAGGCAATGCTCAGTAAATCTGTCCAATACAAAAGTAGACACTCTCAATTAACAAAATGTTAGGCAGTCACATCCCCGTAAGCTTTCATGGCAGAAAAAACCTTTCCTTCAGGAACCAGATATCCAAGAAAGTAACAGTTAAACTCCGTATATACTTACAAGACCTTTACATATTGCAACTAAAACTTCAGGAAGTACGCAGATAACCTTGATAGGAGGAGTAATTTGATTGGCATAATAGAAGTGGCTCATGGTCCGAGAACCAGACAAGCTAGTCCTCTATAGTACAGAAGTTCTGATACATAAACTGTAATACACATCTAACACTTGACAAGAATACAAGCAAAAACTAAGTAAAATCAGAGCAGCATATACCAACAATTGTTTGCAAAGGCAAGGCAACAGTATCCGTAACAATGAACAATTAAAAAGAGAATATTACCAATTACTCAATGTCTGTATCATATTGCCCAGTTGACCAGGTCGGAGATCCCTCCCTGCTGCAAACTGAACCTGCAATAACCACCAAACAGATTATTGATCCAATCATCAAAAGATTAAAAATTAAATAATAGAAGTCGAACAAGGTGGAGAATCATCAAACCTCGAAGCATCTCCGCAACTGATCCAACTTTCCCCTAACTATGCCCTGTCCACCACAAAAGTTACCAAGTAAAGGGTTAGAGAACAAAAACCAAAATTACAGCACATCAATCCTTCATTAATTTTAATGTAATGCAATGGTAGAAAACAATCCCAACAAATTATGCTATAAGCTTCAAAATCTCAAAGAGTAAACACCAAAACCGTATATATGCCGAAAGGCTTCAAAGATCAACTGTTATGTCTTATGGTCTTACACTGGTTTCTAGACAAAGAATGTTATATTACTTGTTCCCAACGAAATGATGAGGGAGGTGAGAGCAGTACACTTACCACATACATGCACTCATTAATCAAAAAATCTTCAAGTTCACGCACATTTGAAACATCCAACTCCTGCATAAGACCTTCATAGGGGAGTACCTATCATCAGAAAAAGAGATAAAGAGCAATCAGAGACTGTAAACAATTATAAAAGACCACTATGTAGAAAACAATAACATAGGGACCTATTTCTGGTTTGTTTGTAAATAAAGAATTAATGATGCTATACAAAACAACAAAAGCAACAGCAATGATTAGAAGTGCTAAAAAAGCTTTAGAGTCTTCTATCTTGGGAATCCCCATGGAAGAATCAGCTTATTGCACCTGCATTGTATTATCCTCCAAACTATGTTAAAGTAGAAAACACCTGTCTAACAAGAAAACACCTGTCTAACTTTGTTACCTGGAGGCATAAGAAACACCAAAAGAGACAACCAAAACAACAAATTAGACAGAAAGTTGAATTGGCCACAAAATACATCAAAGATTCTATATTAGTCACAATAGATGAATGACCAGCATTACAATACCAAAAAACAACAAAAGGTGTCACAAAAAAAGAAAAAAGGGAAGGGTTTCTTGTCGCATTAGAACGTCCTGTCCCTCAACAAGTTTTCAGCACACATAAGTCCCTTATGGCTTCAATCTGTTTATATAAATAGAATAAATCACCATCGCTCTTCCAATTTCCAATAGTAAACCTATTCAGCTAGTAACTATCAAATAGAAAAATACTTCAAAACAGAACGAGTTTTCTACTACTAATAGTAAGAAAAAACTCCCAACTATTACCATAAATCAAAATCTCCAAAAAGATTCTTCTTGCTTATTCGAAAGATTAAAAAATTTTGAGGCAATATACCTTGTTTGACTTTAAAGAATTTTGAGGCAATATACCTTGTTTGTCTCAGCCAGA